GCTTATGCGAAAGTTATGAACATGATATCATGACGTGTCGTAGCCTGTCAGTAAGTGCTAATGTTTTGGTATTTCGTTTATCTGTGATGAAGGTGGTGCCATGTGCGCATAACGTATGGCAACAGCCCTTTGAACTGTCAGGATCGTTTATAAGCTGCCGGTACTGTAGATAATATTTTTTCACAAATAATGTGCCAACTTGATTGATATAACCTACTCCTTGACATAAATGACACATTGACAAACTACATACCTTTGATAAGATTCACACAATGTGACAAGTATGGCAAGACCTCCTTTCATTGAATACGTGATTCAAAATCCCATAGACCCCATTGCACTCATGGTAGCATTCTAAATTACAATTTGTTAGTGTTCTAGGATTAAAAAACCTAGATTTAGAATGTCCGTATGGAAGTAAATTACAAAAGTACTTTTTAGCAATCGAATTTAATGATAAATTAATACTAGAGAAGTGCTTCACAGTTTATGGATGTGGTTAAAGACAAGTAATGCAAAATTTGGCAAATTTAAAAGCTAGTGGAAAAACGGAATACAATAAACTATACGAATAAAATTCTTCCTATGAATATCGATTTATATCATTTGAACGACTAACTAGAAATGATGCAACTTTTATTTTTTAATTGTATTTCATTTTAATGACATTTATTCTTCTGCGGTAGTAATTTACTTTAATCTAACCAATGAATTCACTACGCATTTTACAGGCTTTCACTGATACTTCGCCTCTTCTTGAGAAGCCTTTACTACGTATCTAATGAATTACAAATGAGGATGATTTCGGACAATTGAATTTGTGAGGTTGGCAGTAGCAACTTTAATAAAATCAGTTGTCAAACACGAAAAGACAACGATAATAGCATCTTGGAAATATAGTTTGCAGCACACTCTACCGCCGCAGACGGGAACAAATTCCATAAAAAATGGCCCAATGATCGATTGCTATGCGATATACGTCGCTCGAGGTCGTCCGCATGGTGGAAATACATGGTTGAGTTCCTGAGCCGCACCGATTTTTGCTTGTTCTCCGCCACACCAGTTTGCGTCATGAACCACAGCACGGGCACTTTGTTTGAAAAGGCAGACCAGACGCTGGCCGCCATGTTGCATGGAGAGTGACAAGTGTTGAGAAACATTTTTAATGTCGTGCAAAGTGACAACCCTCATTGGTAACCAACTAAAAACAACAAAATGAAGGTGTACAAGATGCAATATTTAAAAGAAATGTTTCATAAATCTGCTGCAATGTCTTGTAACGATGTGATAATTTGGTATCTGGTTGCATTTAAAATGCCCGCTAATATTGTGACGCAAACTGGTTGCGTCTGAAGCTCATTGGCTGAATAGTTTTGCGCAAGACCCGAAAGGTAACGTTGCATCGAATACGTGGTGCAAGAGCTCCTCCTGCTGACAACCATGGTATGAAGCAGGGAGAGGGGCAGATGATTGGGGCTCCCGCGCATGGGCATTCGTTTCTTCCATCGATGTATGCCTCTAAATTGCTGACTCCCTCGGCGTAAGTGAAAGATTTTGGAACGGTCCTTACCCCCTCTCTCTTACGGCAAGAAGAGCCGCCTATATATACTGCGATTTTCGCAACTCCCCTGACAGGTATCAGGTGTTGACCTTTTCATCCAATCGGGAGCTTATACGTCAACATAGTAAGGTCACTATGGTGACGTTTAAGCTTTCGATTGGATGAAACCGTCAATAGCTAATTCCTGCCAGGGGCAGAGTTGAATAAATCGCAGTAGTGTAGGTATTGTACGGCAGACACAGTGTTCTTCAGAACTACGCGTGTCGCTGACGATTCGTCCATTTTGTGTTACGATTTGTTATGCTACGTATTAGTCGGTGTTTGATTATTCTCGTGTGATCAATTTACTAACTATGGTTATTTCTTGTGCTGCATATAACTGTACAAGCCGGCAGGAGAAGGGGTCAGGGATTTCTTTCCACGGGTAAGTGATATCTTTTAAAATGAAAAAAACAGTTTCATTTTTAATCAAAATTTTCAAAATATCGAAATATAGGTTCTATGTTTCTCAGTTTTCCTCGAGATCCGGAATTGCGAAAGAGGTGGATCATTGCTACTAAGCGGAAAGACTTCGTTCCCTCCAAATACACAAGGCTGTGTAGCAAACATTTTGAGGAGAGTGCTTTCCAATTAAGACCCAATGCTTCATATCCTCTATTGAATCGAGATGCTGTTCCATCTGTATTTGATTTTCCCGAACATGTGGGTGCCTCTCCGAAGAAGAAAAAGAGAAAAAATATAATACGATACGAGGTGAGTGCGAGTGTTTATTGAGATGTATGATAAATGAGTTCTTGACAGAGGATTTTTCTGTGTTTTAGCACTAACGATTTTGTGTATTTCAGATTACAGAGAAAGAATCATGTGTCGCAATGGAAAGTCAACTTCCTGAACCGCCCTGCCCAAAAGAAATCTGTGATACGAGCGAAAAATCGAGAAACCGAAATGTGAGTACTACAGATACACTACAGACTAGCACTAACATGCTGCAACTGTTCGAAGTAACAATATTATTTTAGTGTGTTACATTGGCAAATTAAAAAAAAAAAAACTATTTTCAATTTTCTTTCCATTTTTAGTGCAAGTCTTCTCCAAGGAAAATTCTGCTGAAGCGTAAAATTAAAATTCTACAGCAAAGGCTAAAGAGGCATGATAGAAAAATGAAGTCAATGAAAGATTTAATTATTGTTTTAAACCATAAACTTAGAGCTCCTCACACATTAATTAAACTTTTTGAAAACATTTTTTCTGGTTTTCCATTGTATATGTTCTTAAATTCTTTTAACATTCGTGGTAAAAATAAATACAAGCATGAATTTACTGAACAAACAACAAGAGTTTTCTTTTACCATGTATCTACTCACCAAAAGCTTGTAATTACTTTAGAACAAATAATCTAGTTTTCCCACATCCATACACATCGCGAAAATGGATTTCAAAATTTCACTGTGCACCGGGATTTTTAGAAGTTCTTTCTTATTTGAAATAGCAAAGAAAAGAAGCCTTTTGTGCAAAATGTTATTCTTGTTTTTCACTCAATGAGTATCAGGAAGCAGGTAATTTACAATGAAAAAAACTGAAAACACATTGGGTAGGTTGACAATAATGGTGCCAACATTTGTAAACCATGAAGAATTGGCTATAGAAGCAATAGTTTTGCAAAGCGTATCATTAAGAGGAAATTTTATATACATTATTGGATACTTTTTTATCAACAGAATTGACGCAATAGCCCAATCTCAGATTATAAACATGGCTATCAAAAACTTGGATGAAGTTAGTGTACAGGTTCACAATGTTCCTTTTGACGGACCTTGTTCAAACATTAGCTGTGTGAATAAACTAGATGTAGGTAGCCCAATAAACCATTTTTCAGGATTGTGAGTCTTAATTACGACATCCATGTTATGCTTGACACGAGTCACATGCCAAAATACATTAGCTGACAAAAATATTGTACAGTCAAACAGAGGTATAATTGATTTCAAATGCATAGACCCTCTCATTAGATTGCAAAAAGATCAAGATCTAAAACCTTGCCATAAATTGTCAGACAAGCAAATGAAAAAAACAGGAAAATGAATGTGAACAACAGCTCAAACCTCACACTCAAAAAAAACAACCAACCCTTATTTCATTGGCAGTGAGTCAACCATTTTATTTCATTAGTCTTTTATCAACGTTTTGAACTGGCACGATCCTTTTGGAAGAGGTCCTAAGCATCCTATTAAACTAGAAAACAGGACAATGAATGACGAAATGCTTTCTGAAACAGCAGAGTACCTCTCAAATTGGAAACTTGATGGGATTCATATTGTGAATCATCTGAGAAAAACAATTGCTCTTTGATTTTTGACAGATATAATAACCATTAAAAACTTGAGAGGCAAATTTCTTGAGACTGATGGTTTTGATTATTAAGTTATAAATTTTCTCAAGGCCATTTGAAGCAATTTTTTTCTTGTATAAAGAGTAGAAATGGAAATAATAATAACCCAAATGTCCAGCAATATACGTGGGCTTTACGTAAACTCATGTTTAGGAACTACAACACTCGACGTAGCAATCACATTCATCAGGTAACAGTATCAACAGCTCACTACAAAAAATTCACATATAATACATGTACATTATTTTACAACACCTTGCCAGATGACATTGAATGATTAAATTTGATACAATAATTTAAGTAAATTTTTTTCTGCTGCATAACTGTTTCTATAGAATTAGAGACTGTACTGAGCATCCAAAAGGAAAGTAATATTAATTTTTAAAATGACATTTAATGTTTTATATATCATTTGGTATAATTGTAAAGAACCTGTAACAAGTATTGTACTTCAGCTTCTGGGTCAATGACCCCCATCTCAATCAGGTTTTCGTCCAGTTTCCCTGATCCTGAAGCAAATGCTGAGATGGCTCCTTAGTTTGCTTCTGGACATAAAAGTAACTTCAAATTAACTTCTACCCATAGCATGTCAGACAGTTTTTAACTGGTTTTGACATACATAAATAAATAAACAATGTCAGGTCATCTTTGAGCCCATTTGTTTGGAATTTGACAGATTCATCAGAGCGCAGTTGTCAGTTTTTCAACACTAAATAACAATGATGATTAAGACAACAGTGATGATGACACAAGCTCTTTCACTAAAGATGTATAACATTGAAAGTTCTTATTACAGGACAATATTTTGTATTATATTTATGGTTACGTTGTTAGACGTTTGTAGAGCAAGATTACTTGTGTAGATTGCTGTCACCCTTTGCTAACCAGCAGTGAAGATTACAGTCCTTATACCCATTTTACAGATCACATTTCCAGAGGAAAAATGAAAAGAGCTTCTAATGATGTCTTTAAAATAATCAAATTCATATACATGATAAGCAGATTGACACTAAATTAATAATTTTAAAATCCTGTAAATTTTTTAAGAAGTCAGTTTTTAAAGGACATACATCCAATGATGGTTATGAAGAAAATAATCATATTGTGGCACTCATAGGTATCTAGGGAATCATTTTCTAAAAGTTGCGAGCCATAGTATAGGAAGAAACAGATTCTTGGAAGCTGTATCGCGAAAACTTGGCCTGTGACCAAAATTAAATATATCGATTCTCTTGCAACTAACAAAGAATTTTGTATGTTTAATATAGAATTTTGTATTTTTGAATATTGTTGTACTGTATATTTATTGTAAGCCTTCTTAACTAACCATTAATGCAATGTATCTATTTTATTTGTATTCATGTAAATAAGTGTAAGATATTCATTCTTATTGCAATACCAACGCACCCATCAGTTAAGTCAGACTGCAAATATATTGCCATTAGAATCGTCATTCATATTTAAAAATATGAGCGAGATGGGAGAGGCAGTTGAAATGCAAAAGCCAGGTGCAGGGCCAGTTTACTCAATGTTAAAAAGCTGGGTACAAAGTTTTGTTTCTTTGGTCACTCTCCTAGTGCAGATAGTGCTGCTGATGCATTTTTGCAGGCATTTTGAAAATAGTTGTGTGCGAGTTCCTAAATATCCGTGGGTATATATTATTTACTTTACTTGTGTTTTGTTGTAAAAAGTTGTATTTGCAGAAAGGGGGCAAATTTTATGTACGAGGTTGCACAACCTCTTGAAAGATGCCATGCCATAAATTGTCACAAAATATTAGTATGCGACAGAAATGATTGAAAACATTGATTGCGATGATGTAATTGTTAAATTATATAATAATTATTATAATAATTAATATTAATATAATTATAAAAGGTAATAAAATTGTAGGTAGGAATAAAATCAATAAAATATGCACATTTTCTTACTATTGCTGACCTTACAATTCTTAATCTGACTTCTACAGTAAGGATATTTATTGTGGTGGAAAATCTAGTCTCTAATTTTTTGAATTAGGATCTCTAGACAATTAGATAATTCTTTTGTAGCATAGTATAACAATTCTTAATTAATATATGAAACAAATATGTAGATGAAAAAAAGCCTTGGTAAATGTGTAATTGTTACACAAATGTCTCCATATTCCAAGAATTAATATCCGTAATAGGGAAGAGGAAGAAAGAAAGAAAAACAAGCTAAATCCGCCACAAATACCCCAAACCACTTTAACAGCTGAAGATTATTGTTGCCTGATTACACTCACAACAATGGAACTTGAGATAAACAAATAATGTTGTCATGCCAAATATGTTTCGTCCAAAGCTCAAATTTTCTTGATAAAATCATATTTGAAAATTTAAAAAAATGTGAAGATTCAACATTTGAGAATTAAAATTAAAATTACAGATATTAATTTCATTAATGGCCATTAGGTTTTCTGTGTTGTGTGTTCAAATATCTTGGTTACTCCATTTATTCTATTATATTTAAAAAATATTATATTTGCAAGTATTGAAAATTTAGTCCAATATGGTTGCCTAAATATTGGAATGCTGATACTTTTTCAATTATTTATCTCTCAATAAAAATCTTCACTTATCTTAGATCCTGATCTTAGTAACTCATTGCTTTGGATTTGTTATGGATTGTATCCACAGAGAAACAATTACAAAGGCAACAAAGAAGTTGAACAGAATCTGTAGGAAAGTCAGGATTTTATTAAATGAGTCAAGGAAGATTCCCTGAGACTGCTCTAAAATACGAAGCATTGTGACAGAGGTAAAGAAAGACACGGAATGAGGGAACTCTTGGAATATAATTCTTGTGTCTCTTGACTGCTTAAATAGGAACAGGCCTACAGTAGATGAATTTCCATGATAATTTTCTTTGTGCAAATCTTAATTTATAGACATGTTCATAAAAAATTGTGAATTGGACACAATGAAAGTCTGTCAACCTTTGCAGGATGAGCAAATTTTATTTTAATTTTCTATGTCTTGTGTTCGTGGTGCTTTGCTCCAAAAAATTATTGAAAATGTTTGATATTTTTCATTCATGGTTGACTCAAAAAGGAGTGTATGTAGTTCACAATGATAACAAAGATTTATTAAGTCTTGACAGAAAACCCATGAGCAAATCTAAAATATAGGTATCATAAGTTAAATAAGACCAATACTGCTAACATTTTGTGCAAAATGTGAAAGATTTTAAAATTTATTTTTGTTGTCAGGATACACGGTAACTGCAGTATATTATTATTCTTTCATTTTCATTTTAAACTTTTCATATTCACCTTCATATATTCTGTTAAAATGTTTTTAGCAGTTATTGTATAAATTAATTTGTTTCAAGTGTTAAAAATAATTACCCACAGGTGTATAGTTGAAGTGCTGGGAGCAGGAGGGCATACTGTTTCAATGCTTACTCCCTATCATAGCATGTTCAATCCAACTGAGTACATGTGGTCTCGGACAAAGGTATACTTCAATAAGAATGACCTTGCAAGATCTTGCCAGTTAACTAAATTCATTGATGCAATTACCAAAACGAAAATGAGGTTCAATATCTGAAATTCAATAAAGAGTTATGAATACATTACTTACATTTTTAAGTGTCCATTACAAACGGGAAAAATGCAATAGGACATGCTGAGAAAATTATAAATGAATATTGAGAGAAGAATGGGGTAGATTGTGAAAACAATAAATTTATTATACATCTGAACAGGGACATTGTAGATGAAGACTTCATGGAAAAATACCTATATGTAATTATTGTCAAGTAAATTTACTCGATAAAAAAATGTATAAATAGTGTTTTAATTCTTCATACTCAGTTTTCACAGTTGAATGTTCAGATGAAATATATTATTGTATGACCAGGGAAATTATAAAATACAGACAAATGAAATTTAAGAAATTCTCTGATTTAAAAAACAACATAATTTCATTCATTCTATATCCTTATCAATCATTTTCAATCTTTGTAAGAATGTAATTCGTTAATTTATTTCTCCAAAGTTTCCTAATTATACTTTCATTTTACAATGAAGTAAAACATGTAACCTCTAATGTTTCAGCATTTTGAGTTTCAGTAGAGAATTATCAAAACAATTGTTCTAAATTATATTTTTTCAAAATATTCAGAGGATGAAAATTAACTAAATTGTGTATATTTAAACGTAGCGAAAAAGTCGAGCGTCATGTGCATTTTCGAAGTTGGCAGGACTGAATGTTCGCCATATTGAAAATTCTAGGGACCGAAGCAAAGCAGAAAATCCCTAAATTGCGCAATTCTGCGCAATGCGCGTGTGTGATGGCGGCTACCCCCTCCTCCATGGGTGTTTGACAGTCAACGGGAAACTACCTGCCTTCAAGTCGCGATTGTTTTCACGTATTTAGATGTTATTTCTTTGGAGATTATCTATCTTGTGTTGACGTCTGAATCGTCGAAAATATGAGTGATGATTGCGTGGAATTCTTTTGTGTCAAAGAAGAACCTGTTGAGGTTGGTGTTATTTTGTGTGTCAGAAGATATTTTGAATAAAGTGCGAAAGGAGGGTATATCACATTTGATTGGGTATTGTTGGAATTAATTACTTTAAGTTTTGTAAGTGCAAAAAGTATGAGTTGTTTACCATTATAATTTCTTATCTTGTGTTATAAGATCAGGTTCTTTTGAAACTTCTAATATCTGTAGAGAGATTTAAAATTTGTTAACGATAAAGCATCCTTCCTTTTTCATTGTAACTATTTAGTAGTGACTGAATAATTGATTAATGAATCACCTGTCTTTATTTTGAGGTTCATGGAATTCAAATATTTGATGGATCACCATTATTTCTGTATTAATCATTGTTATAGGAAAAATAATTAAAAAAGTAAACCTATTAAATGTTTTATAATGTGTGGTAATGTTTTGTTCTTTAAATATGTGGACATGTTCAGTGATTTTATTGATTTGAAACCTGTTATATATTCTTCCAATTTCTTATTGTGACAGATGGTGTTTTCTGAAGATCAGGTTTCTGAGGCTATTCTTCCTGATAATCTGCTCTACCACCAGCATGTAAGTTTAGAACTTGGAGATATAAAATTTCTCAATATTATGGCCAGAAATGCTCTTGTGTGAAATGTGCATGGATTTTCTGCTTAAATTTGTTTCCTTTAATACATTTATATTTCACATAGAAATTGGTTGGATCGTTTAACATTTCTTTTCATGAAAAGGTCAAATATTTTCCACAAATTCTGACATTCCTAGGTATATTATGTCATGACATAGTAAAAGGATCCCTAAACTTCTTTCCTTATGCTACTTTTAAAAAAAGCTAACTTCACATATTCCATTATGTGCAATGATTTGCTGAACACCGTAAAAATTAACTCTGAGGAATTCCGAGAACTTTTCCAAAATGTGTCACGTTGTTACAATTTGTGGTTGAAGTCTAGTACTCTGTACAATTTGGAAATTCGGCACTTCATGTCGCTCCGGCTGTAACTGCGTATTTTGAATTCTGGCACTTTCTTCTAAAAGTGAATTGGAAATTATGCGGTGGATAGACTCAAGGATGTTCATAGTGAATGCGAGGGCCGAAGGCCTGAGCCTCACCGCGACTTGGATCCGGGTGAACAAGGCGAGAAAACTTAAAAGTAGATATTACAATGCAGCTGGGACAAGACGTATGAAGGGCAAGACATGGAAATCGCCTATCCGCAATTTCTATCAGAGCATGTGGCGTAAGCATGAGGGAGGGCTAAAAGAGACCCCCCCGACGCCACCCTCTGAGATTGTACTGTGTACCCTACTTTAACCTAATTGTTTATACTGATAATGAAATAAACAATATTATTTGAAGATTCTGGGGAGATTAAACTTTGTCAATTCTTTTAATGTCAGTGGAACAAAATTATTATGGGTGGAACTATTTTCAATTCAGAAATGTGTATAGAAGAGAGTGGGATGACTCTTCTAAGTTCTTTGTATTTGGTGCTTGTTCGCTTTTCTGCCACTGCGCTTAAGGCAATGGCAAGGTCACAGAGAATTGAATGTTGGGCAAGATGGAATAATAGGATAGAGGAAAGGAAGATACCATTTCTATATATTTATTTATGGTGATATATCAGTGATATATCGCCACACTTGAGGTCTCACCTCATTGTTTTTTATTTGTATCAAAATTGTTTAACCTCCAGGTTTAAGTTGGTAGTTGATAAGATTTTGTGTATATGTGTATAATTATATCTCGTGACTAGCCTGTTGCCGTGTGCCTACCTGTAAATTGGCTACAAGACATGTCTTTGAGAAAAACATTTGTTCATCACCAAAAGAGAAAGAAACATTCTTGAAGTGTTGCAAAGCCCTGAGAAAGAAGTGCAGATACAAAGTTATAGTTATAGAGAATGGAAAAATGTATTTGTGATCACATTTCTACAATGGTGTTATTAAATGTGATAAGGTGGTAATTACTAATACCTGAATCATACTCAACTTGCTTCTCGTGAACCATGACCCATGATGGAACACTTACGCTCATGAGGAGTGACCCTTTTCTTGCTACACTTTTACTCAAAACCATCACACAAACATCTTTTCCGCAATGACCCAAGCCCTACTGGCGAAAGTTGCTATTCAGATCTTAACGTGGAGCATTTTCTCCTGCACTGTTCTAAGGTAAGAGATAGCCGCTGAAGGCTCCACCTTCCTACCTCTTTAGCACGGATACTTGGAAATGACGAATCCTCTCTCTGCAAGCTTTGTAGTTTCTTACAAACTGACATTTACAGCATTATGTGAGAGAAGATACTATTACTATCTTAATATACAACGTACTACATAAGTATAACTAAAAAAATGTCAACATATTTTTAGAAAACATTTCTTTCTCTTTCAGAGTCGATGGTTTACACGTAATATCGATGTTCCTTAGTTTTGGTAGATCTATGAGAAGAGATTTTACAGTTTGTTTATTAGACGGGGGCATTTGGTGATTAACAGACTGAATAATGTTCATTTTGAGAAAATGTTTTCTTTATAAATTGCCTTTTCTTCAAGCAAAAATTATTTGAAAATGACTCACATTAATGTGTGTGTGTGCGTGTGCGCGTGCGCGTGCGCGTGTGCGTGCGTGTGTGTACACACACACACACACACACACACACACACACATAGCCATATCCCCTGCATATTCTATTATTCTTAATCCTGCTACAAAGCAAGAAATATTGAATACTGTTAAAGCCATGAACAGTGAAAGGTCTGCGGATGTCGATCAAATCTCTATTTCAGTCATTAAACATGTTTCGAAACGTATATTAAAACCATTAACTTATATATTTAATTAAAGTATTGAGACAGGTGTATTTCCTGAACACTTTAAAAAAAGTGAGATTATTCCAATCTACAAATCAGGCGATATAGATAGAACCACTAATTACTGACCTATCTCACTAATCTGAACTTTTGCGAAAATATTTAAAAAATTATTGAAAGTTCGATTTGAAAACTACTTAAATAAACATAATATTATAAACCAATTCCAATTTAGTTTTCAAAAGAATAGAAATACTGAAGACGTTATTAAGTATGTAACAACACAGATCTGTACATCAATAGATAAGAGTCTGCCCTGCATACCTATTTATCTGGATTTGGCTAAATCATTTGATATTGTCAACAATGAATTGCTACTAAAGAAGCTCTATAGATATGGTTTTCGTGGAATTGCTTATGATTTGATTAAAAGTTACATGACTAATCGTAAACAAGTAGTGAAAATAAACAATGTTACTAATTAAGAGTGAGTGGTCACTTGTGGAGTTCCGCAAGGAACAATATTGGGACCATTTTTATTCTATACATAAATGACCTATTTCTCGCCTTGCCAAAGGGAGATTCAATATCTTTTGCTGACGATACTTGTGTTATAGTTAATGGTAAATCATGGACTGATGTTCTTCAAAGAGCTGAAGTCAGGTTAAATCTATTAGCTAAATGGTTATGTGCAAAAAATCTTATCCTTAATATAACAAAGACAGTATACTCTACACATGGCAGCTATTTGGACAGTGTTCCGGATCATTGTACATTGAGGATGCATATAAATTCTTGTAATATACAAAACTCTACTTCTCCGGAGATAAAAAGAGAACATCATACAAAATACCTGGGCATTCTTATAGATTGCTGTTTAAAATGGGGTTACCATATATCAAAGATTGCAAATATATTAAGGGCAGACAGGAGGTTTTTGGGCTCAAAAATGCAATTTTGTTTTTTACACCAGAAAATTCTTTGAATTTTTCTGAACAAAGTGGTATATATTTTTTTTCAGGCTCTTTAAACATTTTGAATGGCCATTTAAATATTGTGACGTAGTGAAATAAGAAATGAATTCAAATAACAAAATAAAAATAGTATATTAAGATTATGTACAAGTTACAATAAATTGCTAATATTAAAACACTCCGGCAACCCTTTTCCTTCAATACCCTTCCTTTACCGCAAAAAATACAAGCGCACGCGTGATGGAGCTGTCGGACATCCATTTCTGTCCGACGTGACAATGTACCATCATTATGGCCTTGACGCCAAATATTTAATGCACCTTGTGAGGGTCGTGGCGAACCGTGTTGCCTACAGCACCGAATCGTCTGGCCTCCTACTCTCCGGACATCCGCCACCTACCCTACACCCTATGTACATAACACATACAAGCTTCCGATGCGAAATCTGAGATGCAAACGCGGAGCGAGATGGCACGCGCGTTAAAATAGTTGCTGCACCCCCACCACCTGTTTCATAGATAGGCTCGCTGGCTGGCGCCGCGGCAGGCTCGCTGGCCAGCAGCTTGTTTAGCCCACCCACAGGATTCTCAGGTTGCGTCGCCTGCTTAACCGTAAGCGAGCTCGCTGGTAGCATCCTCGGAGTTTACAGCCTACAGTGTTTTTGGCTCTGCGGGCTCTACCTGAGTCAACGCCAGAGCGCAAACTCCGGAAGTTCAGGCTCAACCCCTTCCTCCCCGCAGCGTACTTTCACGACCTAACGGTTCTGGCCCTCGTGTTAACGACGCCACAATATCTGCGCCATATTGTTTTAAATGCACCGGGGCAACACGCCCCTTTTCGTGTCATTAGAATAATATTATGATAATAAATATAAAATATTGGCTTTGTATCAATATTGTACACTAATATTCTTTTAGAATAATTTATTTTTTCACAGTGAATCGTTGCTTGTGTGTTTTGTTTTAGTATTTCTCTGTTCGATGTTGGCAGCATGTGGTAGTCAAAGAGTTTCTAAAATGTATGTTGTATCAATGAAACGTGCGTTGGGTTTTGTTTACAAGTATTGTTTACTGACGTTGTGGCTGAATTGTGCTGTTCGCTGTGTGTTACAATCATAGTTGAAATATGGGCCGAGTACGAAAATTTGCGGAAAGGAAAGTTCTATGGTAATCGTTATACGAAACCAAACAGGGCAAACGAGAATATTAACCTCCAGTTTGAAAGTGATTCAAACAGTATAACCTCTACTCCTGAAAGTGCCTCTCGAAGGAAACTGGTGTATTTAACAAGGAGGAGAAGATAGTTTTAGGGTAAATAGTGCTGTGAATGGTAATGTTATTATAGATCGTAGTATTTTTTCTTCTTTTATAAACTCAGTGTTGTAATACAGAATTGTGATTCAGAAAACAGTATAAATAATTTATGAAGATGAAACTGCGAGGAAAGGTCTGGCTTCAAAATTAGATGTGAAATGCAGTGAATGTGCAAATAAAACAATCTGCCATGAGTTCTAATAAAGCGAATAAGGTATTTACTAGGCTGTCCGGGTGACGCCGCGTCCATGGCGAAGGTGCCGACGTTTCGGTCGCGATTCTGAGACCTTCCTCAGGGCGTAATGCGCGGAGATGTGCTGGACACGAGTTTTGTGCGAGGTGCTTTGCAGCGCAGGTGCGTGTGGCCGCAGTAGTGCAATGCCCCACACTTCCCTGCTGTGAAGCCATTCCTATCCTTTCGGACATCTATGGCTGATCTGCATCTATATAAAAGCGAGAGCATTCGCTG